CAGTATGAGATATGAAGTGGCACCGTACGGGAGATAATTGTATCTATTGCGGTAATTAAACATGCCCTAATCAAATTTAAAAGCTATATATTATTAAACTAGATTATATATACAGATAACACATATATATATATATATATATAAAATATGTATATATATATATAAAATATAATATCCAAGTATCTTAGATGAATTTTTTGGTAGTTCTCGTGGAAAAATAATATACGGAAAATAAATAAAACAAATAGAAACAAACGGAATTACTTTTATTGTTACATCTCTTCTTCTTCTTGTTACATTACAATGAAAATGAAATACATATTTATAGAAAAATTAAGAAATAGCGTAAAAAAGAAATATAGACATAATGGAAACAAATCAGATAAACAATATTTGATATAATCATATTGTATCCATTATTATTTTTCATCATATCTCAAATCTTATTTTACTCTCATCTCATATTCATTTTTTCATTTTAACATTCCCCTAAAAATTGACTTTGCAAGAATGAAAAAAAGTCAATCTTAAATTGATAATGCTATAAATCTCCCGCACATTTTCATTGTCTGTGGAAAAATTCATAAACACCAAATTTTATTCTTTTAGAGAGCATTAATCATTTTCAAATCACTTCACTTGACTTTAAAGTTCTAACTTTAATTCTTTTTGTCATATCATCTTGCTTGATATGAGAGTTTTTATCTTTGACTTTTGTTTGTCATAATACATCGTTTGAATTTGGATTTTTATTCTCTTTTAAACGATTTAGATATATGAACATCCAAAACGCCAAAGAAAGAAAAGAGTAAAAAAACTATAAAAAAAACATATAGTCCAAATCACAACGCTGCTATGATATCAGTTCTAACTAGGCATTCTCAACGCAAATCTGTAAAAAAAATGGTTATATGAATTAATTTAAATCATTACAACTAATTCATAAATTACATTGTTAATATATATGGTCTACTGGTAAGAGTACATGCAAATTATACTTTTATCTCTAATTCAAATCCAATCGTAAAAAGAGGTATTCATTCTGATTTCTCCAATTTTTTCATAAATTTAATTGAATGAAATATTCGGTGAAAATTTGAATTATCCAAAAAAATATTGTTAATACAGATCTCTCTGTAAATATCGTTGTATTGATTTTTTTTCTTTGAATCTTCTACATATATCCAGTGATCAATTTGCAAGGATAAGATATGGCAACAAGTGGATACGGATTGGCTTACATGCCACTCTTGTCTTCAAGGGGTTCCTCTCATTGATGACTACTATGCTACTCGGCTCAATGTTTTTGGAGGATGATAGTCGACCAATTTATTTATTAACATCCATGAAATAGAAGCTAATTACTATTATAAGAAAAAAAAACATGTTTTAAAACACCTTACATTATACAAATTATATATATTTAGTCGATTTTGATCGGATCAGGGCATTATAAAAAATATCATTATTTTGTTATTTTGACTTCAGCACATACATTTCTCCAACTATGATATTGTGATCCATGTGATCCGAAATATAGTGTAGTCACATGTTGATCTCATTGTTTATAACGTTAAATTTATGATGTTTTAATCAAATGATTAGTAAAATATATGAGAAATGAACATAATAAATTAGTGTGATCATCATAAATTTAACGTTATGATATCAGTAAGATCAAGATGTCAGCACACTATATTTTGGATCACAGAGTTACAAACGGAGAAGGACATGTGTTGAAATCAAAATAGTAAAATAAGAGTATTTTTGATATAATGCCGATCGGATCGATTCTAAAACCATTTAAATACATTATATCTTAAGAGTAAAAAAAAATCTGGTATTTAGATTGAAGGAAAGTGACCAAAAAATGGGAGAAAACAAAGCAAAACAACAGAGCAGGTCTTTATATATATTAGCCAATAAGAATTTTCTACGATTACATTTATATTTCATCTCTATATCTTCTCAACGTTGAACGATAATAAATTCTCTATAATATTTTGCTCTAATATGGTATAAGATCATAATATTTTCCAATGCTGTATTTCGAAGATTCAAATCTTCAAAACCCAAAACGAAATTCGTTCAACATAATAATTAGGGTTCTAGAGAAACAACTGAATCTATCACTATCAAGGCCTGTGAATGTTCCAAAACTATATAACACGTAAGTTCCATAAGAAGCTTTTGAGAAGTCGAACACGATTTGCCTTTGAATCTTCGTTTACAATATATACATATTAAAAAAAAAACATGTTAATATATATAGTACATGGGTTTTCCCAGTTTCGGACGCGGCAAACATTGCTTTCGGAAGTCGACGGTTGTTGACACGTGTCAGGGACCCGCATCACCTAGTGCCAGATTCTGCTTTAGCCTTTGCCTAGAGATTGAAACACGAGTGGATGAGATTCGTTGAACTCATTTAGAATCTTCATTCGATCTTTGAATATATATGGTTTTGATGAACCCTCCAAACTATAATGATTTTTTTTTTAATATCCTGCTGCCCTAATATTATCGTCTTTATGATTAGTTATTCGATCGCTTTGTATCAGTGATCAAGGTTTCTGATTGATTGTTTAACAAAAAAAAAAGATTTCTGATTGATTAAAAAATAATTATCGCTGAGACCAAAGAAGTCGTCGGTCCATGAAATGAAATAAAATTAATACTCCATATAGATTTTCCACCATGTGTGACTGATTAAAGGCAAAACACACTCTCTCTCTCTCTCTCTCTCTCTCTCTCTCTGCACAGACAGGTAGAACACACACCTCCAGATTCTCACGTCTTTTTTTTCTTTTAACTTTTCTCGTTTTCCGAAAAATATTTTCGTATAAATAAAAGAAGAGAATCCACTCTGCAATTTCAACACTTGTACGTAACCAGTACGATTACGACCAATCTCTCTGCGAGCACCATCTTTGTACAGTTGAAATTCTCCATCTTTTCTCGCTTTCCTTTGGTTTTCTCTCTCTGGGTATCTTCAAATTCCATCAGTGAGGAAGCTCCAAACCCATATGTCTTGTATGCTAAGCTGCTCTAATGGCGTTGTGATTGCAACCGCCATGGTTGTCTCGAGTACTGCTCTTTTTCTCGCCATTTCACGCCAGTTTTCTGGGAATCAGACGACTCAGGGTCAGGGTCCACGACCAATCCTCCGTTCTAGTCTTTCTTCAGGTGCCCTTTGATCTTTTTTCTCGGATGTTCCGCCGTTTTCTCGGGAAAGTTCTCTGAAATTTTCCCGAACGTTTTCATTTTGGTTTACAGAAGAGAAGAAGAGAGAGAGGAAGAAGCAGAAGAAGAGGGTACGGTTCGCGGAGAATGTGAAGGAGACGAAAGGGAACGGGGAAGAGTACAGGAGGGAGCACAGCCGGAGAACCGAACTGCTGGGTAAACCGGAGGAAACCGGGTCGGTTTGCAGGATTGAGATGCCGGCGAACCGGATTGCTCTCTACAATGGGATTCTCAGGGACAGAAATCAAAGAATTCAGTGCTCCTATTGACTTTTCTTGTCGACTAATAATTTCCAAAAGAAAAAATTATTTTCCTTTATTTTCTTGGGAAAATATATTTTTCTTTTGAAACTGTGGTAGGCGCTTCTTCCTTTTTTCTTTCTTTTTCCTCTCTGTGAATATGATTTTTCTTTTTTTTCTTTTTTTTTCCCAATGTGTTCTTTCTTCTAAAACTATGTAGTTATGTATATGGTTGACATGTAAAACACTTGATTTTGTATTAACTAATGTGTGTGTAGTACATGAACTTGAACGATACTCCATCCATTTCAATATAAATATGGCTTTAAAAATTATTTTTTGTTTTTAAATAGTAATTATTTTAGATTTTTTAGATAATTTTTATTAAAAATTTCCAATTCTATCCTTAAATAAAAATATCAAACTTAAATAAAGTATTAATATAGATATGATTTCATAAGTGTATATAAGATAATTTTAATTTTTAAAAAATTGTGAAAATTTTGGTTTATTTAGTTTTTAAATTGGCTTAGTAACTAGAAATGTCTCCTTTGATCTCAAAAGATTTGATTACTATAATTTAAAAGATTTCCATACATAATAAATATTAAAAGTAAAAACAATCTCCGTAAGTCAAGAATAATACAATGTTTAATAAAGTGGAAATAAATAATCATATAATATTTTTGCACAAAATGTTCCTTCAAGTATATTTCCTTAGTTTTGATTTACGGTTTTTGAATTTCTCTAATGGTGTAGGTTTGTTTGGACTATCCTCTTCAAGATTCGGCTTTTTCAAAAGCAAAAATAACAATCTTTAATAAAGCAGGAAAGCAAATAAAAAAATAACAATATAATATATAATATGATAATTATTACATATGCATTGCATAAATTTGATTTGGATTTGTTTTGTTAATATTGTTAATATATTTTTATATATTTATTCTTATAATTATCTAGTTCACTATTTTTAGAGATCATTTTCTAAAATAACAATATAATATATAATATGATAATTATTACACACACACACACACACTAAGAAAGTCAATCTTTTTCCATTTCTTATTGACGTATGGTGAATGAGGCAAGAGGGTTGCCCAAAATTAATTTTATTATACTCCCAAAATAAATAAATAAATAAATAAGAGTTGGGTTAGGTGAAGGGGAAAATCATAAACATGGGGCAAATGTGAACAAGAAAACAACATGGACCAAATGGCACAATTCTAATTTAATTTAATGATTAATAAATTAATTTTGTTATGTTTCACAAGATTCCAAGGAAAATTCCTACAATGCCGCCATGTTGACTAGATAAGGTGAAAAGAGAAATCTTTCTAGAAAGAAAATAACTATAAGAAATAGGAACATCCCAGATTTTATTTTGATATTCTTTTTTTAGATATTTCCATTTTATAAAAAAAAAATTGTTTAGTTTTTAACGGACCAATTTAATCAAATTCGATTATTATTAAAGAAAATAATAAGAAGACTATATATAAATCAGGATCAATATTTTAGATTTTCGAATTTCGATTCATTTTGGATTTATTTAGATTTTCTTTTGTTAAAAAAAACTATTCGTTTTAGAAGATTTGCGTTTTTTTTAAATTACATATACTCGTTTTTAAATCAATTTTTGTTGAAATATAATCCAATATTATTTGGTTAGATTTCATTTATTTATTAGAGCACATTGGTCACGCCAAGGAAGATTTTCTCAAGTATTATTGTGTTATTTATTTAGCGTGCCGTCTCCATGTTCTCTTAGGTTTCCTCTTTCGTGGTTACGACGTTTTCATTTTGGTGTTTTCATTATTATTCTCATTTTTTTTCTTCCAAAACCCACATTGGGAAATTCAATCCATACGTAAGATACATATACACACCAAATTTTAAAATTAAGTTGACATACAAAATACACATATCCACACCTTTGGTATATTATAATACGAATGTTAGTTAATATATATTGCGCAACATGAGACCGACCGTCCAACATGGATAAGGTCGGTCCTAATCCTAACAAATCCACTATGTCTATATGTTAGGAGTCATAATTATATCATTTTTTACATATTCTATGCAATGTAAGAATAAATCTTGAAATTACAAAATATCTTTATAGTTATTAAAAATTATAAAAATAATCAAAATTTTTATTTCAATATGATTTAGATCCAGATATCTAAAAATTCAATTGAATTTTAATTTTAATATGTAAAATATTTGGATATAAATTTTAAATACTTTAAAAATATTTTCGGATATGTGCCCACTTCTATTGTGTGTGTCACTTCAGTCCTCGTTGTCCCTCTGTGCCATCCGTTTGGTCTTTGCGTTTAAAAACTGCGAAGTTAGCATATGGGCAGTGTCTCTACGGGGGCCCCTACATTCATAGAATACTATTTTTTTTTATCATATAGATAATTTATTTTATAATGCATTCGGGAGAGAAACAAATATGAATTTCGGACAAATTTTCTTTTAAGGTTCAAAAAGAAATTGCCGCAAACATCAAATTAAAAAAAAGCATAAACCTTAATAAACGGGATGAATTTCATGTTCCCTCTAATAATCTAATTTATCTTTGTCATTGGATTGTGATTAATATTTAATGTCGATCTACTCTTGATTTTGAGAGAATACAAAGACTTCGTCTCAATTTCTTTCGGACAAATTTTCTTTTAAGGTTCAAAAAGAAATTGCCGCAAACATCAAATTAAAAAAAAGCATAAACCTTAATAAACGGGATGAATTTCATGTTCCCTCTAATAATCTAATTTATCTTTGTCATTGGATTGTGATTAATATTTAATGTCGATCTACTCTTGATTTTGAGAGAATACAAAGACTTCGTCTCAATTTCTTTCTTTTATTATTATTATTATTATTATTATTATTATTATTATTATTATTATTATTATTATTATTATTATTATTACATTCAATAAATCTGCCCAAAACTTAGATAGTTCCATCAAAAAATTTTATCAAACAATGTATGTAAACGGATCTCTCTTAAAACTCAATATCATTTTAAAATTAGTTATTTAGATTTTATCCTAATAATTTCAAAACCCATTTACACCATAGTTATATAGACTGATAAAATTAAGAGATTGTTGAAGAAATTAAAAAAAAAATTAAGAGCTGAAGACAGAAACTCTATCGTGAATGTGATATGGTTGGGTCCGTCACTGTCATCTGATGATTCGATGTCGCAATAGCCGTCTGAGCTCTGTTTTCTCTCTCTCTCTCTCTCTCTCTCTCTCTCTCTTTTGAAATACGAAATCTTTTGCCTTGCGCCCGAGGAGGCTGAAATTCATGATTCTACGACTCCCATTAAGGTTAAAGTCTCCCAAAGCATCGACCTTGAGGCTGTTCATCTCAACGATGGCTGAATCTGTATCCAGGGATTACACTTGTTTGATCGATGCTTGCAAAACGATCCCCCCCCAAAAAAACAAAAAATCAATTCAGTGATCTTGTGCGTAGGCTATCCTATTCATCAACTTGATTCTCTCGGATTCGTGGGGATGAACATAAATGGGCCTTCAATATCGTTACATATGGGCCTAGTGGCCCAAGCCCACATTTCGTTGCAGTTAGGAACTTCAATATACCGCACTTAACGAGTTTTATCCTTGTATACCCGAGTCACCGGACACAACAGGGATGAGTCGACTCGTACGGGCCCCACCCGCGAGAGATGGATGAGATCGTCCTCATGGACGCCACCGGAAAGTGTCTCCTCACCGTCAGAAGAAAGGTACACTCATCCTTTTTTCTACTTTTTTTTTTTCTTATCTCAACAGGGATGAGTCGACTAGTACGTTCAAAATAAAATCACAAATTTCATAAGAAAATACTAATCAATTTTTTTTGTATTTTAAAATTTTATTCGTATGAAAAACCACCTATTTTTTTTAAATCAGAAATGATATATGATTATAAATATATCAATATTTAAATATTTATTTATATGAACATATTATTATTACCAGTAAGTAAAAAGAAAATATATATTTGCAATTGCACACGACCATAAAAGATTGTCCATGATCTAAAAAAACAAACATGAGATTTACAATCATGAAGCACTAATCCTCTGTAACGGGGTGCACCTTTTTTTCCATATCATCATCCTCAACCGAATCGTCACCGTTGATCTGATCAAGCACGAGCACCAACCCCATCGCAAACGCACCGTCGAAACCGGGTTTAACGGTGAGAGAAAACACGTCGCGTCCAAGAATCACGTTTGTAGACGCGTCCACTTTGCGTTTGATCTCAGCCACTGCACGCTTCTCCGCGTCGTACATAACGCAGTTTCGTTGTGCGGAATCTCCGTCGATCATGTATTCTTCACCGGCTTCGTCGTATACCTCCACAGTCATTGTGCACCGTCCGATAATCGACGATCTTCTGACGCTGAAGATCGGTTTCTGACCGTCCGATCTCTCGCCGAGAAATCCTTCCCACCTCTGGTGAAGTGTCGGCCTCTGTTCATAAAAACCAACTCGTGTTTAGTCGAACTCGACGACGGGTTGACTCGTACTGTCTCGAGACGAGTTCAAATAGGGGATTGACACAGCAGAGAAACCATAATCTATCTTTTGCCACCTCGATTACTGAGTTACATGAACTTCGTTGCAACCAGGTCGATGACTCACTGAGTTGACCAAAAACAGAGAAACGCAAGAAGTTTTACAGAAAATGCGAGATTCTTTTCCCAAGAATATTTCGATCGAGAAACAAAAATCAGTTTACACCCATCGATCAATATTAGATTGCGACCAAGCCCTTCCAATCAGATCCAGTCCACCACAAGCAAAACGTAAACTTTCACTCTCTTTTCTTACCCGAGTCACCTGAACGAGTCGACTCATCCCTGCTGAGATGAGAAAAAAAGAAGAAAAGAAGGATGAGTGTATGCCTTTCTTCTGACGGTGAGGAGACACTTTCCGGTGGCGTCCATGAGGACGATCCCATCCATCTCTCGCGGGTGGGGACCGTACGAGTCAACTCGGAAGGTGAGCTCGCCGTTGCAGTCGTAGACGGCGAAACCGTCGCCGGAGAAGAAGAGCGATGTCTTGCAAACTGTTAGTTGCTTCTCTTCTTCGTAGAGATAAGCTTCGTTCACCACCATTCCCATCCGCATTCTTCTTCTCCTTGGTTTGTGATGGATGAACGAGTGCATACTTCAGCGATCATATTGACTCGAAGTTATGCACCACTACCTGTAATATTTGTAAATATTTATTTATTTCTATTTTTTATGATTCAAGAAACGTTAGAATATGACAAGAATTTCAAAAGATGCCAATATATAGAAGCTATTTTTCTTTTTTTACAAAAATGATACGTTTTTTTTAAGAATTAGGTTAGAGGGGTAGTATTTAGTTGCATACTTTTCGTTTTGTGGATACAATGGATATAAGTTGAAGTGAATTAGAAATTTGAATTTTATCAAACAATGTATGTAAACGGATCTCTCTTAAAACTCAATATCATTTTAAAATTAGTTATTTAGATTTTATCCTAATAATTTCAAAACCCATTTACACCATAGTTATATAGACTGATAAAATTAAGAGATTGTTGAAGAAATTAAAAAAAAAATTAAGAGCTGAAGACAGAAACTCTATCGTGAATGTGATATGGTTGGGTCCGTCACTGTCATCTGATGATTCGATGTCGCAATAGCCGTCTGAGCTCTGTTTTCTCTCTCTCTCTCTCTCTCTCTCTCTCTCTCTTTTGAAATACGAAATCTTTTGCCTTGCGCCCGAGGAGGCTGAAATTCATGATTCTACGACTCCCATTAAGGTTAAAGTCTCCCAAAGCATCGACCTTGAGGCTGTTCATCTCAACGATGGCTGAATCTGTATCCAGGGATTACACTTGTTTGATCGATGCTTGCAAAACGATGGACCAACTCAAGCAAATGCACTCTCTATGCATTACAACAGGTATGGGATCAGACCCAAGAATCCAGAAAAAGCTTCTTGTCTGTTGCTGTAGCAGGCGAGGCGGCGAAATGGGTCACGCCTGTAAACTGTTCGACAGAATGCATGAACGGGATTTGGTGGTGTGGAACACCATGATCAAGGGGTGGTCCAAGGTGGGTTGTGATGGGAAAGGAGTAACGTTGTATATGACGATGTTGAAGAACGGTGTGATGCCGGATTATTACACGTTTCCCTTCTTGTTGAATGGTCTTAATCGGGACTGCGCGTCAGATTGCTGTAGGCAGCTGCATTGCCATGTCGTGAAGTTCGGGTTTGAGTCTAACGTGTATGTGCAGAATGGGATTGTTTATATGTATTCTTTGTGTGGTTTAATGGATATGGCTCGTAGGGTTTTCGATATGAGATCTAAAGATGATGTCTTTGCTTGGAACTTGATGCTCTCAGGGTATAACAGGATGAACCAATACGAAGAAAGCAGGGCGCTTTTTCTCGAGATGGAGGTAAACATGGTATTCCCCACTCGGGTTACCTTAGTTCTCATCCTTGCTGCTTGTTCCAAGTTAAGGGACAAAGATCTATGCAGAAGGGTTCATGGATATGTGAAAGAGTG